ACAAAGAACATATAAGTTAACTATTGGAGTTAAATTGTGCCGATAGTTCTATACGCTCTCCCAAAACAATAGTAACAGTACTAAAGATCGACACCCAATAAGTTGTCTAGCACTAATCACGGTTGTTAGAACAATCATGTATTTTTAAGTCGATCATGTAGATCACGTGATGCGAGACGGATTGAACATCTAAAATTTTATATTATAGATATTAATATTCGCAAGAAACAGTTGCTGTAATGCAACTTTCGATAATGATTCTATAATTTGATTCTGTTGCTGTTGCAACAAAAAATTTAGGTAAAGTCATTAAAAGGAGAAGCCGATGCAACAAAAGATTTAAATTGGAAAATCATTAAAAAGAGAAACCGACGCAGCCGAAGTTAAAGTCTCGGTTGAGTAGAAATTTTTTAAAAAGGTATTTTAAGCGGCACATCGTAGATCACGAAAAATAAAAAAGAATATGTTCAAGCATTTAGTTCTATAAATATCATGATCATTATTTAATTAATTGATTGAGATGCTTGAGAACACCCTAAACCATTTATTAATCTTTTATTCAATTCTGAGCTCGATAATCATGACAATACTATGAACTTTTGGCTCATCTTGACGATACAAAATATTATCGGATTCAAATTTATTTGAAAGAAGTTATCAATGATTCTACATGTAAATTTGATGAAATATTTAAATTATTCGTTTGATAAATGTAGAAAATATAATATCGTTCTACTAAACTTCTAGAAATCAAGGGGAAATTTAAAATGTTAATAGCTTATTGTTATTTTATCATTAATGAATTGTCGAGTTTTAAATTTCTAAATTTCTTAACATCGATTAATGCATTGTGATCTCAATTTTCGTGATAACGATAGCGGGGAATTTCGGAGATTCTCAGTGATGTCTATATATATTTAGAAATCTGTATAACGATAATTCCAATCAAATTCCTGCAAATTTACGTTGCACGATGATCTGCAGATGTCACGCCATTTGCAAACCTATACCATTATTTTTACACGTGATTCCAATATTTATATTCGTATTGAGCTTTACTTTTTTCTTTATTTTTACATCAATTTTACTACTTTGCTTTTTTTATCACCTTTGCCTTTTACTTTTGCGCTTAACTCTTTTTCAAACCCCTTTACTTTCGCTTTGCTCTTGTAACTTTTTTGGCTTCATTTTACTGTGTTTATTTACCTTGACTTTTAAAGTTCTTTACATAAAACGTGAAACATACAAAAAAGAAAATGATTTAATTAAAATTAAAAGTAAATCTGGTCACATCATAAATGTGGTTAACCACCAAAAAAAGAAAATGATTTAATTAAAATTAAGCGTAAATACGGTCATATGGATCATCATAAATGTGGTTAATCACTGAAGGTGGTCATGACACTTAGTGCGACAGGAGATCATATTGTATATCATAAATAAAAATACGCATATAATTTCAAAATTCATAAGATTTAATATAATGCGCAATGTTACGACTAGTTGAGAAGAGGTATGTACAAACATAATATGGCACCAGATATAATTCATTAATGTTTGAATTCAAATAATGGGTAATTATCGCAAGAACTGGATTCTGTTTTTTTACAATTCATTCAATAAGTACGTACGTACGTACGTTACATACATTCTTAGAACCTTTCATGATATACACCTTGTGTTAATATGTATGTATACATAAATTTGTAATTTAATAACAAACCATTTTTTTTAACATAAGGTGCAAAACATAATTCTAAATAAGTATAAAGTCTTACTTTACTATTAAACACATGTTAAATTTCAGTCCTATCGCTATTGAGGTCGATGCTATTGAGGTCGATAATTTTAGTAATTTTATTACAGTAAAGCATTTTCCTGTTCACATGATATGTACTGTACGTACATACATGCAGATTAGTTTTGTTTTGTTATCGTTACAGGAAAGCGTTCGAACTACAATACGTAAATTGATTCTTGTTTACTGTATTGGTACAAATAAGCATATAAATGTTTAGAAAATATAAGCATATAAATGTTTAGAAAATATATAACATAAAAGGTTCTTCATACGTATATGTACCTTTATTCCTTTTAAGTAAATTTATAATTAGTTGATTACACATATCAAATATTTCTTGATTCTAATACTGTAATATTTAAAACGATAAAAAAATCGCATTAGAGAATATAAACTTTACAAGTTTAATCAAAATTCACTAATAGAATCTTTAATTTTTTAAAAAAATATTATGGAAGACACAAAATTTATCCTTTCGATTGATGGAGGAGGATTTCGAGGCATAATCCCCGCCATCATTCTTAATGAAATCGAAAAAAGAGTAAATAATGAAATTAAAAAAGAACATCAAGATGTTGATATAAGATGTGCTGATTTATTTGATGTCCTTTCTGGAACTTCGACAGGCTCTATACTTGCTTTGGGATTATCAATTGCTGAAAATAATCGTCCTAAATTTGATGCTGAATATCTTGTGAATTTTTATAAGCAACATGGAGCTGATGTCTTTCCTGATTATTCTGCTATCATGTTTGTTGATAAATTATTGTCTAAAACTGATAAATTATTGGCCGATTATGCTAAAATAGATGCCACTACAGTTGAGACGAATATTAGAAGTATAACTAATAAAGGAACAACTATTGTTAATAATGAAGTAAAAAGAGCAAGTAAGCTTGTAAGGTTTTTTACTATTTCAAAAAAAAAGCAGAATGAAACTGAGAATACAACGACAAATGAAACTGATGCATCAACCAAGAATCAAGTGGATAATGAACCCAAAAATAAAACAGAAGATGTACCGAACATTAAACCAGTGGATAACCCTGCTGATGCAACCTTGAGTGAAGCTAATAAGCAAAAAGAAAGAGAATATTTTAATAAAGTAGTGATGTATATAAAGGGATATTCGAATGCTTATAATCCTTGGAAGCCGAAATATTTACCTGACGAATTTGAAGATTTATTACAGCAAAGTTTCGGTAAAACTATGCTTAAAGATACTGTAAACAATGTGAAAGTAATCATTCCAGCATATAATATCACCAGCGATAAAATAACTTTTTTTACAAATCTTTACGATGAGCATAAAGATTATCTAATGAAAGATGTTATACGTGCAAGTGCCGCAGCACCCACTTATTTTCCTGCTAAACAAATAAACAAAGATTATTTCATAGATGGAGGTGTTTTTTCAAATAATCCAACGGTCATGGCTTATCTAGAAGCAAAGAAAAAGTTTCCAAAGGCGAAATTTGTAGTAGTTTCTCTTGGTACTGGATACTACAAAGAACCTTTAGAAGGTTATAAAAATTCCGGTGTTGTCCAATGGTTAAGGCCATTGATTGATCTTTTGTTTGATTCAGGACTGGATAGTAATGACACTACTATGAAACTTTTAGCAGAATTAGATGGTACAAGTTACTATCGAATTCAATTAAATTTGACGAAAGATGATGATGATTTGGATGACGTGTCAGCAAAACAAATTGCTAGACTTACTAAATTTGCCAGTGATGCTATGAATAATCCTGCTTATAAGTTTGATGAAATAATTAATTTGCTTGTTGATAAATGTAAGAAATTGAATATCTTTCCCACTAAAAATAAAAAGTAATGTTGTGCAGGTATACGAATTTTATATAAATTTAGTTATTTTATTTATTTAGCATAAATATTGGGTCATTTAATAGCATAATTATTTGACATTTAAATTTAATAGCATAATTATTAGTCATTTAATAGTATATATTATAATTTCTTTTATTTTTTTTAAAAGAGTGAGGTCTGGCCTCGGTCTTTATTGAAGAATTATTCTTTACATTGTTATATATTGTAACTTCTTTTACAGTATCAGCTGTTTTATATTTTGTTTAATTAAAGTTTATTCAAAATTAAGACTCGCATAAGTAAATGCGTTTCATATATGCCTACGTAAACAAGTTATCTTCTGTAAATAATTTTTATAATGTTATATTTATCATTATTATAAGAGATTTTTTAATTTTACGTAAGTCAAAAATCAAAACGAAATATATCATTGATTGAAAAATGATTCTAGTCAGTTCTAGGTCAGTTCTTAATGTTAATCACGTAATAAAATCGATTAATTACGTATTATATTGATATTGGCAATGAATAGCTCTTTTTATTGCTGTACTTTTTTTCTTCATAATACTTGCGAATTTACAGTATAGTTTTCTGACTCGTAACATTTTTGGAAATTTATAATAACTGACAAGAAATAAAGTTTGAAGAACAAAATTATTACAGTATTACGAATGTCAATTAATAACTAATATAAACTGAGAAATGACGCGGAACATACGTACAGTACGTACGTTTTATTTTTTACTTTTTTTAAAAAAAAAATAAAACTACGGAGAAAATTAGTATATAGAGGGTATTATCAGAATTGTAGAACTCCACTATTGAAGATAATCAAAACCCTTTATTGTTTAGATAACTTTTCTAAAACAAAAGGATTTTTGATCATGTTCAATAGTGGAGTCCTGCAACCCTAATAAAATCTATACTGTATACAGTAAAAGCTTTCTAAATACACTTTTCTCGAAATCATAGTAAAACAAAGAAAGATCTGTCGTGTATACAAAGAGGGTGTCCATTTATAGAGAGCAAAACATATGATGACTTGTGAGTTGGACCAAGCTATGCCGTGCATTTAGAGAGAATTTACATAGAGCGTGCACTTGTAGAACGTGCACTTAGGGAGGTAATTTATTCTCTGTAGGTTTATTTTTTTACAAAGTACTTTAAACTGAATAAATAATGTAAATTAAACAAATTTAAATAACCAACATATGAAAGTCGTCCTATGAGCGCGATAATCAAAATTCTTAATTTATTAATGACACATTACAGTAATTTCGAAGTAACATAAACATTTACAGCTTGAATGAATTCTCCTTTATATAAAAAGTAGAAAGCTTCAGGCTATTACAATTATAAATAGGCGTCGCGATTAATGCGCCAATGCAATATTTATACCTTAATCAATCCGTCGAAATTATCAATTCACATAAAACATTTTGAAGAATTCATGATTACTCTTTTTTTTCGTAAATTGATATTTACAGTCAACTCTCAGTTATCTCTTCACTAAGCTATATCTTATATCCCTACAATTTAGCAAAATAAATATTCTATATTTGTTAAGTTATATCTCTACCTAAATTATATATTCAAAAACTCCCTGGGCAAAAGGGTGATACAGTATAACTGAGGTTTGACTGTAGCATTTTATGCTAATGTATCAGATTAAAGACTACAATAGTTGGCGAGCACTATTTTTTCCAGATGTTTTTTCAGCGATTTTATCAATAAAGTTTTGATTGTGTAATAATAACGACATGGATATAATATATTTTAATATAAGAAAAGCAACGGAAAATTACTGTTTTAAAATGAATATAGTGTAACGTGTAATTAATCAATAAATAAAATATTTGGTCAATAAGTTACAAATTTTTGGTCAAGAAAATTATGAATTTTGGTCTGTAAAGTCACGAAGAAAAAAAAATCTGTTTAAGCCTGCTTCATAAAATTCCCATGTCTTTACACTAACACGAACCTAGTGCTAATTCTAAACATCATGATCCATTAAAATAAGAAAAATATTGGGATAGTTATATTCTGCTGAAATTTTACATTAAGCTTATAAATTCATTTATAGAGTAAATCTAAAAGAATCTTGATGTATCATAGAAGGAAGTTTGAATTCAAGTTAATATAATGTGATCTGCAATTATAAATAGGTTAATAAATATATATCAAACGAGAAATAAATAAAAAAAAAAACTTTATAAACTAATTTGCGACATACGAGCTAATCTGAGGTTTTTGCGTATATTGTTTTGACGAAAGAATATCCCTGATATTATTCAAAAGTTGCTGATACGTGACATTTCTATTTTCTCCCATACTATTAAGAAATAAATTATATAAGTTTTTATATATGAAAATTTCATAGATTCTAACAATCATATTTACGCTTTGATAAAAGCATAAGACATGGCTCCGGTATTCCTTCCTTCCTCATAAGCATCTGCTGACGTCTGTTCATCTTTGCACCTATTTTTTTTTTTAAACACATCAATATAAAAAATGTAAAAAATAAATTGAAAGCATCATTAACTCACCCGCTTAGCGTGATCACATCTGCCTTACTCGACTTGTTCATGTAATTTTTTCCAGTTCTCATAAGTGCTGATGCATTGTTCTTTGCAAATGAAAATAGTTGTTTTTTATTACCCTTCAAAAGTGACATACCCATTTTCATAAGTTGACCTTTGTCCTCAGTAAGAGCCTTGGGTGCTTTAATCAATCCACGAGTGGAATATGTATATGGTAAATCAAGAGCTGATCCAGAATGACATGAATCAAAAATTCCAAATAATCTTACACCTATGAATAATATATTTATTAATTAAATAATAATATTACTGTATTAAAATATTTAAGGTATACGTAATTCTTTTTACCCTCTTGAAGTGGCTTTACCATAATTTCATGCATTTCCTACAAATAATTTGAATTTTAATCATGGTTAAATGTTAAATTAAAAGCTAAAATTTTTAATGCCAAAACTTACATCATCAACTATTTGTCCATTTTGTGAATAATCGACTGGTACGATAGTCTCATCAAATCCATCCTCTTCATCTCCACCAGTATCTTTTACTTGACCTCCATGACCACTATAATGAAAAAATAATCTAATAATAAAAAAAAAATTGTAATAATCAGTTTAAATTAATAATGATCAATTGAACAATTAATAAATAATCAATCTTACATATCTCCTGGTCGAGCATCTCGTACAAGCCATTTCATTGCTTCTAGGATATTAGCTTTATATGGAATCTTTGTTTGGTCTTGCTGATCATCGGTTAAAATCACCATATCAGATTCTTGAAATCCATATGATTCGATTAAAAATCTTTTCATATTAGCTACATCATTTAAGCAACCTATTTAAACAATATATATTTATATAAATTTTAGAAATGTTTGTATTTTAATTCAAAAAATTTTTATTGGAAATTTATTTACCTCTCAATTCGCCGTCTTGGTGAAAATAATTGATTCCAATAAGTAATGCTTTTTTATGTCCTCCAGTATTGTATCTTACGCTTTGTGGAGTAACCATGTAGCCACCTTGAAATTGTTGATTTTGTGGAGGTGGAGCATAACCACCAGTTGGTGGTCCTGGTGGCGGTGGATAGACTCCAGAAGGTGGCCCTTGAGGTGGTCCTAAAGGTGGTCCTGGAGGTGTTACATAGTTACCAGTTGGTTGACTTGAATAGCTATCGGATTGAGGTCCTGAAGTACTTGAAGGTGGTGTATAACCACCAGACGGCGGTCCTTGTGGTAATGTATAACCACTAGGCGGTGGTCCTGAAGGTGGTGTATAGCCACCTGGGGGCAATTGTCCTGGAGGCCCTGGATAACCGCCGTGAGGTGGATAATATTGTTGTTGATTTGATGTTGGTAAAACAAATCCTCCTGGAAATTGTTGGTTTTGTTGGTTTTGTTGGTTTTGTGATTGCTGTTGTTGATTTTGCTGTGAGTATTGTTGTCCTGGATACATTTTTGCAAAAGATATATACCGTGTTATTACTAGTTTAGAGATTTGAAAAGTGAAGGGTAAAAAAATAGATGAGTAAGGCTATTTGTTCATGCCGATAATGTTCTAACTAGATTTCTCTTGATTTCCGCAATTGGCATTTGTTTAGATAATCCCTATTTGCAGTTAAATACTTATGTGGTGTAACTTGATCATACAATTGATTACCCACGAGAGAGGCCGCAATTTCAAAATCAGACATATATAGTAGTAGAATTTGTTACGTAGTGTTTCTGTCATACAACACATGAATTTTTATATCTGATATACGTACGTACGTACTTGAATTGGTTAATGATAATATCAGAAATATTTGAATGTTACTGCACGTCCCACATTAGTGGCGTGTGTTTTACGCCCAAATTAATATCGATATAAAAACGAATTACCGTTAATGTACGTACGTACGTATGCATTTTTAAACTTTTTTTGATCAGTTTGTGCACATGTAGTTAAGCATCATCAAAAGTAATTCCTGACGTATTTTTAAAATCGAATTAATGATAATTAGTACATACAAAATTTAGTTCTACTAAGCACTTGAAACAAAATATTATAAAAAAAATACCGGTATCTTCTTTTTTAAAGCTATTCTGTATAAATTTACATCAATGAATATAATATCTAAAGATTGAAATAAAAATTTATATCAAGAATATAATATCTAAAGATTGAAATAAATTGAGATAGAGATTTTATATTATTAACTTAGAATATATTATATACTGTGTGCTAGAAAAGTCACTAAATGGTCTTCAGATAAAGCAGTTAAAAAAATATTTAATTATAAGAGAAATAAGGGCTCCACCGACACCCTGAATTGGCTTAAAATGATTTTTATTATGATTTTCTTAAATCATTAAACATAAAACTGATAGTGATAATAAATACATGAAATTTTTTATATATATTTGGATATACTTTTTTGTTAAACGTCATGTTTATTTTTTTAAAGATTTACTGTATATCCATTGTAAAATGATCTATTTATTTTCTAATTTGAGAATTGACACGCAATTAAATTTACATAGATTGAAAAAAGAAATGGACCAAATCATTCAGACTTATTAGCCAAGTTTAGCTAACTCTATATTCTTTTGGAAAAATAGTTTCGAGAATTTAAGCTGCAACAAAATTAATGGTTCATGATTTATATGGTTCATGATTTATTATTGCAATATGTGTTTTAACACATTATTTGGCATAGTTCACTGTTGAAATCACTAACTCATCTACCATCGAAATCACTCACTGTTAAAATCACTAACACATCTACCTACTGATGAAATAATGATCCATTAAAATAAGAAAAATATTGGGATAGTTATATTCTGCTGAAATTTTACATTAAGCTTATAAATTCATTTATAGAGTAAATCTAAAAGAATCTTGATGTATCATAGAAGGAAGTTTGAATTCAAGTTAATATAATGTGATCTGCAATTATAAATAGGTTAATAAATATATATCAAACGAGAAATAAATAAAAAAAAAAACTTTATAAACTAATTTGCGACATACGAGCTAATCTGAGGTTTTTGCGTATATTGTTTTGACGAAAGAATATCCCTGATATTATTCAAAAGTTGCTGATACGTGACATTTCTATTTTCTCCCATACTATTAAGAAATAAATTATATAAGTTTTTATATATGAAAATTTCATAGATTCTAACAATCATATTTACGCTTTGATAAAAGCATAAGACATGGCTCCGGTATTCCTTCCTTCCTCATAAGCATCTGCTGACGTCTGTTCATCTTTGCACCTATTTTTTTTTTTAAACACATCAATATAAAAAATGTAAAAAATAAATTGAAAGCATCATTAACTCACCCGCTTAGCGTGATCACATCTGCCTTACTCGACTTGTTCATGTAATTTTTTCCAGTTCTCATAAGTGCTGATGCATTGTTCTTTGCAAATGAAAATAGTTGTTTTTTATTACCCTTCAAAAGTGACATACCCATTTTCATAAGTTGACCTTTGTCCTCAGTAAGAGCCTTGGGTGCTTTAATCAATCCACGAGTGGAATATGTATATGGTAAATCAAGAGCTGATCCAGAATGACATGAATCAAAAATTCCAAATAATCTTACACCTATGAATAATATATTTATTAATTAAATAATAATATTACTGTATTAAAATATTTAAGGTATACGTAATTCTTTTTACCCTCTTGAAGTGGCTTTACCATAATTTCATGCATTTCCTACAAATAATTTGAATTTTAATCATGGTTAAATGTTAAATTAAAAGCTAAAATTTTTAATGCCAAAACTTACATCATCAACTATTTGTCCATTTTGTGAATAATCGACTGGTACGATAGTCTCATCAAATCCATCCTCTTCATCTCCACCAGTATCTTTTACTTGACCTCCATGACCACTATAATGAAAAAATAATCTAATAATAAAAAAAAAATTGTAATAATCAGTTTAAATTAATAATGATCAATTGAACAATTAATAAATAATCAATCTTACATATCTCCTGGTCGAGCATCTCGTACAAGCCATTTCATTGCTTCTAGGATATTAGCTTTATATGGAATCTTTGTTTGGTCTTGCTGATCATCGGTTAAAATCACCATATCAGATTCTTGAAATCCATATGATTCGATTAAAAATCTTTTCATATTAGCTACATCATTTAAGCAACCTATTTAAACAATATATATTTATATAAATTTTAGAAATGTTTGTATTTTAATTCAAAAAATTTTTATTGGAAATTTATTTACCTCTCAATTCGCCGTCTTGGTGAAAATAATTGATTCCAATAAGTAATGCTTTTTTATGTCCTCCAGTATTGTATCTTACGCTTTGTGGAGTAACCATGTAGCCACCTTGAAATTGTTGATTTTGTGGAGGTGGAGCATAACCACCAGTTGGTGGTCCTGGTGGCGGTGGATAGACTCCAGAAGGTGGCCCTTGAGGTGGTCCTAAAGGTGGTCCTGGAGGTGTTACATAGTTACCAGTTGGTTGACTTGAATAGCTATCGGATTGAGGTCCTGAAGTACTTGAAGGTGGTGTATAACCACCAGACGGCGGTCCTTGTGGTAATGTATAACCACTAGGCGGTGGTCCTGAAGGTGGTGTATAGCCACCTGGGGGCAATTGTCCTGGAGGCCCTGGATAACCGCCGTGAGGTGGATAATATTGTTGTTGATTTGATGTTGGTAAAACAAATCCTCCTGGAAATTGTTGGTTTTGTTGGTTTTGTTGGTTTTGTGATTGCTGTTGTTGATTTTGCTGTGAGTATTGTTGTCCTGGATACATTTTTGCAAAAGATATATACCGTGTTATTACTAGTTTAGAGATTTGAAAAGTGAAGGGTAAAAAAATAGATGAGTAAGGCTATTTGTTCATGCCGATAATGTTCTAACTAGATTTCTCTTGATTTCCGCAATTGGCATTTGTTTAGATAATCCCTATTTGCAGTTAAATACTTATGTGGTGTAACTTGATCATACAATTGATTACCCACGAGAGAGGCCGCAATTTCAAAATCAGACATATATAGTAGTAGAATTTGTTACGTAGTGTTTCTGTCATACAACACATGAATTTTTATATCTGATATACGTACGTACGTACTTGAATTGGTTAATGATAATATCAGAAATATTTGAATGTTACTGCACGTCCCACATTAGTGGCGTGTGTTTTACGCCCAAATTAATATCGATATAAAAACGAATTACCGTTAATGTACGTACGTACGTATGCATTTTTAAACTTTTTTTGATCAGTTTGTGCACATGTAGTTAAGCATCATCAAAAGTAATTCCTGACGTATTTTTAAAATCGAATTAATGATAATTAGTACATACAAAATTTAGTTCTACTAAGCACTTGAAACAAAATATTATAAAAAAAATACCGGTATCTTCTTTTTTAAAGCTATTCTGTATAAATTTACATCAATGAATATAATATCTAAAGATTGAAATAAAAATTTATATCAAGAATATAATATCTAAAGATTGAAATAAATTGAGATAGAGATTTTATATTATTAACTTAGAATATATTATATACTGTGTGCTAGAAAAGTCACTAAATGGTCTTCAGATAAAGCAGTTAAAAAAATATTTAATTATAAGAGAAATAAGGGCTCCACCGACACCCTGAATTGGCTTAAAATGATTTTTATTATGATTTTCTTAAATCATTAAACATAAAACTGATAGTGATAATAAATACATGAAATTTTTTATATATATTTGGATATACTTTTTTGTTAAACGTCATGTTTATTTTTTTAAAGATTTACTGTATATCCATTGTAAAATGATCTATTTATTTTCTAATTTGAGAATTGACACGCAATTAAATTTACATAGATTGAAAAAAGAAATGGACCAAATCATTCAGACTTATTAGCCAAGTTTAGCTAACTCTATATTCTTTTGGAAAAATAGTTTCGAGAATTTAAGCTGCAACAAAATTAATGGTTCATGATTTATATGGTTCATGATTTATTATTGCAATATGTGTTTTAACACATTATTTGGCATAGTTCACTGTTGAAATCACTAACTCATCTACCATCGAAATCACTCACTGTTAAAATCACTAACACATCTACCTACTGATGAAATAATGAAATCGCTTGCTATTGAAGTTATTAACTCACCAATTACTAAAATTGTAAACCCCGGCTGTTAAAATCACAAACTCACCCTACAATTAAATCAATAACTTCTCTATTACAATATTTTCACTTACTGCTGAAATCATTGACTCACCTAGTGTTGGCAAGCGAAACTATTTTTGGCAAATGGCGAAAGATGTAACTAAACCGGCGAATGACGAAACCAGGCAAAACTCTGACGAAACGGTCTAGCAAAATGACGAAACTCTGGTGAAACCCTGGTAATGCTGAACCCTGTGGAAAGTCAAAACTCGACAAAGATTAAATCCTCTAAGACTTTAGGAGTCTGTGCCAGGTC